GGAAGTGTGAATACAAATCCAAATTTTTTACCCTGGTTTCTCAATGTGTGGACCTGAAACGCCAATTACCACAATTAATTCAAATTGCTTGGTTGTTTCGGTGAAAATTCTATGGACCATTTATTCGAGAGGAACTACATAAACTATGCAACTACACGTTATCTAGTTCGACAGTTTCGGGATGTCGAGTCTCCAACATGTTTGTAAAGAACGTCACCCTCAATTCCTTCCACCTTGTAGAATATGTACTTAGCGTCACCAACAAGAAAGCACTGATAACCTGTAGCATCCACCATAGCACACTTGTGGGGAATTTGCCAACATAACACCACGTTATTATCAAGTTTATGATGTGTATAGTAACTGCAAAGTCCCATGCAAGTTTTGACCGCCCAACAATAATAGTGACAAACAAAACACATAATAGTGAGTCAAACAACCACAAGGCAAACAATGTCAACCCCAATGTGTTTTCAAAGGAGACCAATTGCCATTGAAATATCCAGTCTATTGAGAATTCGTAACCATTGAGTAGTGCGACGATAAAGAATATCACAAGTGCCGAAAGGTAGTAGAAGATCTGTAGTAGTATAATCTGGATAAGTAGTTTCTTGGGATTGGTGTAGTCTTTGTCCTGGTAGAGCTTGATGTAGTCCATGTCACGTTGGCTCTCTGTAATGGATGTAGTGAGTGTAGTGGCTCTGTTGATGTTGTTTGTTCCGCTTTTTTGTGAACATTGATTTGACTTTGTTTCCTTTTTTTTTTTTTTTTTTTTTTTTTTTTTTTTTTTTTTTTTTTTTTTTTTNAGTTTCTTGGGATTGGTGTAGTCTTTGTCCTGGTAGAGCTTGATGTAGTCCATGTCACGTTGGCTCTCTGTAATGGATGTAGTGAGTGTAGTGGCTCTGTTGATGATGTTTGTTGTGACGCTTTTTTGTGAACATTGATTTGACTTTGTTTCCTTTTTTTTTTTTTGTTTTATTTTCTTTTTTTTTCCTTCTTTGCATTGCATCAAGTCATCGCAGGATAACTACTAAGTCACGACATGGCCACGGAGGAGGATTTATTACTTACGATAGACAGTGATGTGGAAGTGGATAACGATTCAGACTCATCCGTCGAAGAGGAAGAGACTGGCGACATCAATGCAAATTTCGAATTTTCCATTGGAGATGAGGTCGATGAGATAAAAGATTGGGAGGTGGAAAACGATGAGACATTCAAGGATGTCAATTTGGATGAGATTATTGAAAAGAAGAGGGGAGACTTACCAGAGGAAGAGGAGAAGAGCTCTGCGGAAGAGGAAGTTGACGAGATGGAACAAGGTGGAGCAGATGACGAAGAGGAAGATCCCGATGCAGAAGACTTTTACGAAACAGCTTCTGTGGAATCTAGCACCACATTTCAGGAACTACAACTTTCACGCCCGATATTAAAAAGCATACAATCATTATCATTCACGTCACCAACACCAATTCAATCCTCAACCATTCCTATTGCATTATTGGGTAAAGATATTGTCGCAGGTGCACAAACGGGTAGTGGTAAAACAGCAGCATACTTGATTCCATTGATTGAACGTTTGATCTTCAAGAACTCTACTTCAACTAAAGCAATCATTCTTACTCCTACCAGAGAGTTGGCCATTCAAGTTTATGACGTGGGAAAGAAGTTGGGGCAATTTGTAAAGAATTTGAGTTTCGGATTAGCTGTGGGTGGTTTGAACTTGAGGCAACAGGAGCAGCAGTTGAAATCGAGACCTGATATTGTCATTGCAACACCAGGTAGATTGATTGATCATATACGAAACAGTCCAAGTTTTAGTGTGGAGGATGTCCAAGTATTGGTAATTGACGAAGCCGATAGAATGTTGGAGGAGGGTTTTCAGGAAGAATTGACGGAAATATTGTCATTGATACCGAAGCAAAAAAGACAAACGTTGTTGTTTTCAGCCACAATGAATACAAAAGTGCAAGACTTGGTCCAATTGTCGCTTAATAAGCCGGTGCGTGTCATGATCGATCCACCAAAGACAGTTGCATCCAGATTAGAGCAACAGTTTGTTCGTATTCGTAAAAGAGAGAATTTGAAACCGGCTTTGCTTTTCCAGCTTTTGAGAAAGTTGGATGGCAGAATAGTGGTGTTTGTGTCGAGAAAGGAGATGGCACACAAGTTGAGAGTCATTTTAGGATTGTTGGGCCTCAAGGTGGCCGAATTGCATGGTGCATTGACGCAAGAACAACGTTTGGCAAACATGAAGCAGTTTATGGGTGATGTCAATGTTTTAATTTGTACAGACTTGGCGGCAAGAGGTTTAGATATAAGAATAGAGTACGTGGTTAACTTTGACATGCCAAAGACTTACGAGATTTATCTACACAGAGTTGGTAGAACTGCAAGAGCCGGAAGAAAAGGTACATCAATTACATTTGTCGGAGAGAGCAACCAGGATAGGGCTATTGTCAAGGCAGCAATAAACAATGGAAGGAGTGTGGCGAGAAAAGTTGACTGGAATGATGTTGAAGCAATCAACAAGAGAATAGATGAAAAGGAGTCGGCGGTTGATGAGGTGCTACAAGAAGAGAAGGAAGCAAAAGAAATATTGAGAGCCGAAATGCAATTAAACAAAGCAAGCAATTTGATAAAGTATGAAAAGGATATTCATTCCAGACCGAAACGAACTTGGTTCAAGAGTGATGTGATGGGCCAGCTAACCAAACATGGTAAAAAGGTAAACTCGAAAAAGAGAAAGGCAAATGAGGAGAGGAAGGAGAATGAAAAGCGGTCATATAAGAAGACAAAGGCTGACAGAAGTAAGAAGAGTAAGCATAAGTAGGAAGCATTGACACAGTAAGTGAATACACCGGAGTACTTTACCTTGATCTCATATTAATTCATGTTATCTTCAACTATCCCGCATTTTCTTATGTAGCTAAGATTTGAAATTGTGGTTCAGAATTGGATTCGAACTATAAGGACTCACTTTCCACATTTGTGTAGAACACGCGAAAACTTGTTTACAATAAACACAGAAACTCCAACACCCCCTCCCCTCCCCCCCCTCCCCTGCCATTGATGCTGCATTAATGCAAGCATGCCCGACACTGTTATACGAGCAACATAGGAGAATTGACTGGCAACTGCCAGGAAACCACATTGTTGCCAAAAATGGTGACATTGAATATTATCGTGCCGAGTTATTCAGTCTAGCAGATACATTTGGAAAATATACTCCAATATTCATCAATGATATCAACAACCAGCTCAATTTCAGACGTCATTACAATGAATTGTGGGAATATCTACACGACTTGATTATGGTCAACAACTGGCCCATAAACAAGTTCAGCATTGTGGGCAAAGTAGTTGGAGAAAGGCTTTTTGATAGGGGAGGCTATGGTGGTGCACGGTTAAGCATTGATGATTCCTCGGGGAAGGATCTGATTGTTGAAATCTTTATATCATTGGCCCAGTACGAGGCGATATTCCCAGTGTCAGGAACCAATTTTGGAAAGCTTGTTGAAGTTAGGGGAACATTTAAAAATTGGCGACCGGTAGTCGATAGCATTACTGTGGTGAGTTCTGTACCGAATGATTTGACACGCGAGTTACTGCATTGGGCCATTCGAGTGAAGTTCAGAGAGACAGTGTTGCAAAAGCCATGGAAATTTGTAAAGACCATGCAGGAAGAGAAGAGACTTGACATAGAGCCTCCCAAAGATGTCCGGTTGCAAGTTCCGACAGAACCGATTCGTCGGGGACCTAGAAAAAGTGTGGATATAGTGATTGATTTAACTGGTGATGATGACACACAAGATGGAACTCCAGAAGTGGAGTTTAATGACATCACACAGCGCCACTTGGAGAATACATCTGAAGTACTTCTACACCACAAACACATTTATATAAAGTTGGTAAAAGAGTCGTTGGTTGTGATCATCAAGAATCTGTTTCGTGAGACAACTTTAGACGATTTGGTCTCAAACAGGTACGTACTAAACCAGATCAATGTATTTGCAGAGGTGCTTCAACAATTCCATGGTTTCCACATCAACTACCGACTGGAAATAATATTCCGTTTAGCACTATATTTCAAAGAGTCAGAGTTGTTTGAGTTTACTGACAGTATCATCAAACTGGCAAAGTTTCAATTCATGTACCACAGCATTCAAAGGAAGCTATCAACAAGAACTCAAATTAAAACTTTAAAGTATTTGGACTACTTAACAAAGAGGTTGCAAATAAACAACTGTGATTACAAGTTGGTCAATTTTTTGATAAGATATATAGTACTGACGTCTGATTTGAGGTGGAAGTATATCAAGGATGAAATAAAGTGGATAAGAGCATGAATGATATGTACTGTGTATAGAAACAGTCACATTTGGTCATGTGATTCCATTGCGCAGGACGAAAATGAAAAAAAAATTCTCCCACACAGTTTTTGTGTATCGTTCTCTACTGTCTCTCTCTCTCTCTCACTCACTGTGGAAAAAATTGAAATTTATCAAAAGAGGAACTCTAGTAAAATCTGCCTTTGGACACTAGCTAACCACACATATCCACCAACCAGAATGGTATGTTGCCCGAATAAAAGCTTATGGATGAGAGAGGGTGAACCTGTCAACGAAGGAGAGCAAAGCTCAGGAGATAGTTTGAGAAATCGCAAGCACAGAGGAGTCTCCATCAAGAGGAGTCTCCATCAAGAGGAGGACGAATTTACGATCGAAAGAGCCTGGATATAAAGCATCCACAGGCCACTCACCATTTCATCATCGAATACCCCCCTTTAGAACCCCAATACTAACCCATTCTTTTTTTTTCTCTAGAGTGACGCCGTTACCATTAGAACTAGAAAAGTCATCACCAACCCATTATTGGCTAGAAGACAATTCGTCATTGACGTCTTGCACCCAAACAGACCAAACGTTTCCAAAGATGAATTGAGAGACAAATTGTCAGAAATCTACAAAATCGAAAAGGATGCCGTTTCAGTATTTGGATTCAGAACCCAATTTGGTGGTGGAAAATCAACCGGTTTCGGTTTGATCTACCAATCAGTCGCCGACCTCAAAAGATTCGAACCATCATACAGATTAGTCAGATACGGATTGGCTGAAAAAGTTGAAAAGGCTTCAAGACAACAAAGAAAACAAAAGAAGAACAGAGAAAAGAAGATCTTTGGTACCCAAAGAAAGGCACAAAAGAAGGCTGCTAAGAGAAACGCCGATTAGATTGATCTCTGTAACCATGTATAATCCATTTATAAAAATAGCTTTACTGTATTTTTGATGTATAATGTCAGTATAATTAAATTGTTTTGGGGAAAATTATCTCAAAGACTTGTAGCCAAAAAAAAAAATAAAGAAAGAAGAAAACACGAGAAAAAACTCCTACCTCATCCACCGTAAAATGTCCGAAAGAAAGGCAATCAACAAGTATTACCCACCCGACTATGACCCGTCAAAGGTTATCAAGAAGAAAAAGAATCCAAATCAGACGATAAAGATTCGTATGATGGCACCGTATTCAATGCGGTGCTTGAGATGTAACGAATATATTGCTGAAAGAAGATCATTCAATGCAAGAAAAGAAGTCACCTCAGAACGATATTTGAACATCAAGATTGTCCGGTTCTACATCACATGTCCCGGTTGCAACAATACAATCACTTTCAAGACAAATCCTGCTGAAGCGGGGTACACACCAGAAGAAGGGGCCGTCCGGAATTTCGAGCCTTCGAAAAAGAAAAGAAAACAGGAAACTGAAGATGATTTATTGAAGCGATTGGAGCAGGAAGAAGAGGAGGATATAAAGTATCAGCAATTGATGAAGAAACGTAAAAACAACCCTTTCTGGAAGGAACAAGATGAGACTGGTGGTGATGTGATGGAGAAATTCGAAAAGAGATTGATTGAACAACAGCGACAGCAAGAGTTGACTAAAGAGTTGGAGGCGATTCAACAACAAGTTGAATCTAGTAATAATGGTGAAGCATTGTCAAAGCTACTTAAAGGTGCCAATGGGGAGACAGAGCAGAAGACAGGGCAGGACCCAGAGCAGAAGACAGGGCAGGGCCCAGAGCAGAAGATAAGGCAGGACCCAGAGCAAGATGCAAAGACTATTTTTTCTCCCACTATCCGATCAAAAATCATTATTCGGAAAAAGACAGCCGCTCTACCTAATATAGACTACAGCAGCGACAGCGATTAACTTTTTATACATTAAATTCAAAATCATCCAAAGTCAACACAGGAGACTCGGGCGGCGCAACTTTCTCGTGATATCTTGCTTTGATATCTTTCAACACAGGCTCCAAGATTTTCCATTGGTTCTTATCCATATCCTTCCTACTATACACCACCGCCTTGATATAATCAGTCGAACAATTGTAAAACACAGGAAGAATATGATGCTCCCAGATGGACGGGAATGTCTCCATTGGATTAGGACTCGTGCCCAAATCTCCCAAAATCTCAATTGCCAGTACGGTTGATAAAAGATACTGCCTGTCCTTATCTGTAAATAGATCCTGTAAGCCTCCAAATATTAGTTCTGCATCCTTCCCCACTCTTGAAGCAAACGATTTATATCCTTGCGTTTCCGGATTTATCTTTTTACCATCTCCATACAAGATATTCTCAAACCCAATCTTTATATAAGCACAAACAAACTTGTCCAAGAAAATTTGACACAAATTTTGATAAATTGTATAGACGCAGTACGACCTTAGTTCGCTCAAGTATTCAGCGATCGTTTCACTCATTATAGCAGCCAGCATTGCGTCCCCTGTTTGCTTCATTCCATCTTCCAACCATTGTTTGGTGAACAACTTGCACATCTCAACATACAAATCATTAATGATTATGTTGCTAATGGCTATGCAAACGTCCGAGTTTAGTGAATTCGACGAGGCAACCGCACTTTCAAATGCTTGCGATATCTTCACATGATAGTTTGTGTGCACTTTTTCCTTGTAAGTGTCAACAAACCTACTTGTAATGCTCTCACCGCTAATTTCAAAAGAGTTTGCCAATGCCCCAAAATATTCAACAATACCCGGTCTCGAGATATTGGCCTGCTCTTCTGGGCTCAACTCATCTATATTGACAACGGTGGGTCTTTTTTTAAACAACCTTTTCATCTTACTCTCTTTGATGAGAAACTTTTCGTTACTGAAAACGGTAAAGTACCTATCCATTTCCTCATCAACCACCACTTGAAAGTTTTCCACTCTAGCAATGTACGCGTTACACCAGTTCTCAATAACTGCGACTAAAATCTTTGAGTATCCCGATTCTGCCGCTACATCTGCCTGTTGCTTCAACATGTTGAGGGGAGTTTTGAAGTCGGGCAACACAAACGCTGAAATATTCACCGACAATTCAAAGGGTACATTGTTATTGTCCACCTCCTCGACAGTTTGATCGTATGGGTATATATCTGGTGCCTTCAACCGTTCTGAAAAATAAGTCGTTTCTTGTTTGATCAAACTGTCATTCCATTCGTTCATCTTGTTGGTTATATTCCGCAAGTAGTCGTCCAACACAGTCTCCTTCAAGTCAGCACCAATGATCGACTTGGCCGACCCTTCAAGTTGCTTCAGGTAATCAGCAAACTTTTTATCATACAGCAAAATTTGTAATATGTCTTCAGCTGGCGGCTCAAGGTTTATCATGTCCATAGTGTACTGGTGCAATTTGTCGTAAAATATCTTTTCAGTGAATGCACCAAACTGCCAATCCTTTGGTAACAACGGTGACAAGTACTTGTATACAAAAGTAAGCTCCTCTTCAAGCCATTGTAAATCTCCATACAACCCAATCTTTTCATACTGGTAGTGTTCAACACAAGAGTTAAAAGTGTCCTCAAAAAACAACTTGAATTTGTCAAAAAAGAACTTTTTGTAATTGCGTCTTTTGCTCCGGAAGTCATTGTAGTCTTTGTTCACATTGTGCCTTACCAAATCCAAGTTTTGCATTACGCTGATTTTGGTATCCTCTTTGTCCTCCCACAACACAATACCAACTACTTTGTATAACATCTCAAAATTATCATCCTTCACTGCCTCTGTAATCGATATAATACACTCATTCAATAGTTCATCAAACAACCTAATGGTTTCCCTCACCGGCGACGTAAAGCCGTATACAAGTGACTGTAAATCGTCCGACAACGATTGCGAATACTTTTCGAGATAATCGGCAAAGTTGCGTACACGGGTGTAGCGATAGTGAATAATCAAAATGTTTGGCACCGGATACCTCAAATCTTCCTTTAGCATTGCTGTCTCATCTGCAATTTCACGATTCAATCTCTCCAAATTCTTTCTAAATTGTCGAATATCTTGAGTCAAGCTTGTAACTTGCTCCATAAACTGATTGATGGATATCATTTTACGAATAAGGTCGTAGTCCTTGACCGAGGTGACAGACTCATCATATGTATTGTGGAATTTCGATATATCCGCTTTTATCTCCTCCACCCTTGAAATGGTACGATTCAATTCGGCTAAATTATGATTGATTGATGCAATTTGAGAATCAGTGGTTGTCGATAGCTTGATATCAACGGTGGACTTCTCCTTTGCAAATTGTTGACGGATATCATCTAGCTTACTAAGATCTTCAGGCGCCTTTATTAGTCCACCAATCTTGGACAATGCTAGATCACTCATTGTTTATGGAGCCGGTGGGCGGTGGAGTTGTGCTCCTGTTGTTGAAATTTGTTTTCGCTCGCACAAAAATTGAACTTACAACTTTCCACAAAGCTCCAGCTCCAGCTCCAGCTCTAGCTTCATGTTATACAGGAGAGACTTTAACTTTTCTTAACTACTTACCTACTTAAATCTTCTTCCTGGTTGTCCATTTTGATACGGATTTGGCATCATTCCAAAATTCTGAGGTGGCGGCATGAACCATGCAGGCGCAACTTGCTGTGGGAATTGTGGCTGAGGGGGCATTTGAAAGTTGTATGGCATTGGTGCAGTAGCTGCAATCATTGGATTTGGCATATATGAGGGTGACTTAAACATTGGTCTTGGGAAAAGTGCCTCATGCGTTTCCTCAATCGTTGCATCCCATGTAGGTGGAGTCTGAAATGGCTTTTCGTAATAAATTGTATTTGCATCCCCAGCTTTGGCTTTTGTAGTATTGAACATGTTGAACCCATTTTTCAACTCTTTCAACTTTTGCGCCTGCTTTTCTTGAGTTGGTACCTTGCTAACATCTCCGAAAAAGTCTTGTGCTGAAATCTGGAAATGCCTTTTGGTAGTTCCTTGGGTGCTACTATTGGACGAGTAGGTCCTAGTATTAGCTGTGTATGGAGAAGACGTTGGACCTTGCTTATTGAAAGCAGTTTTGGGTGGGGACGTCAATGTAGTGTGTGGGAGGGATGGGGTGAAGGATGCTGCATTAGGGTTGAGCTTGAACGATTTCAGCAGTCTCTTTTCTGCTCCTGGCTTGGCTGAAGACAGTTGTGGTGCAGATGAAGTCGAAGGCGCATCTGATGGAACAGGAGGTCTTTGTGAAGGAGGGGCTGCAGTACCAGGTGTCGAAGCATTCAGTGGGATCTGTGGCTTTGCGTTCTCCCCTTGCTCTTGCTTTTGTTCTTGCTTTTGCGGTTGATTTTGTAGTTGCTCTTGTTTCTCCACTTGTTTCTGCTTCTCCTCTTGCTCCTGTTGCTGCTTCTTCAAGATCTCATCTTGCTTAAGTTTATCCTTTGTCAAAATGGGCAAAAGATCTTGAGGAATCTTGTGAGGAATTTTAAAGTTTGCACTAAATTGTCGAAGAGACAAAATTTCACTCTCGGCATTAAGTCTAAATGCTTCGTTTGGAATTTGTGGCTTTGCAGGAACTGAATCTGGCGCTTTCTTTTCAGATCTTTTGTTTGCGGCCGAACTCGACACGATTGCCGGGTCATTGTGATAGTTTGCGGCACGTTGCCTTGGGGTTACATACTTTGATGCATCTTGACCAGTTGAAGAAGCAACTTGGTCGTTTTTGGCCAGCTTACTATTCATCTTCAAAGCAGCCATCAATTCATCACCTCTCCTATCAACTCCGGAGTACTTATCCTCCTCATCCAAACCACTGTCATCCACTTGAATGCCTCTTTCCTCCAAAATATGACGATCCGTTGTCGCTTGCCCTTCAATCTCAGCAGCTATTTGATTAGCTCTGGCAAGACGTTGCTCGTAATCCGGAGCTGACTTGTCAATTCTTGTAGTATACAAGTGCTCGTCGTAAGTGCTTTCCACACCAAACTTCTCCTCATTTACCTTGAACTGATCCCAATGCAAGTTTCCATTTCTCGTGGTGGTGCTGCTGGTGGTGGTAGCGGCGGCTTCATCCTCCAAAGTCAATCTCTGAACCCCTTCCTCTTCCTCGGGCTCCCACTTGACCAACTCACGTTCCTCAAATGGCTTGATTTTCCCATGATTATTAGAGATATCGGCATCAGTCTTAAACTCCTCTCTGGTGTAGTGCTTGATGGGTTCATTGACATTTACCTCAACCTCCAAATCCATCAAGTCTTTGGATTGTATAACAAGCTGTTCCGGTAACCTATCAAGGTTATTCTTCTCATCGATCAAGCTTTTGCCAACTAATTGGGGCAGTTTGATCACCACGGAAACAGCTGAGTTGGAGTTTCGTGCCCACATATCAGTAGCCAACAATAAACCGCGGTAACGGCTCCCATCAGTGGTGGTGACAGTACAAGGTTTTCCATGAGATTTTGCAAGCAAATAAATCAATCTGTTGTCACCTTGATCCTCGCCAAAGTTGGCTTGGCCATTTGCATTGTCCTGACCTGATGAAGAACCTCTGGTAGGACTAACTCTGCCACCGAAACCAGTCGAGTTCCCATTGTGACGCGAGCCCGCGCGGCGGTGAACAATCTTGTTACCCGTACGATTCGATTGGGGCTTCATGAAACAACTCAGTCCACTGAATCAATCAATCAATCAATCAATCAATCAGTACCTCTTGATTAAAAAAAAAAAAGAAAATAAAACCAAAGGAGAAACAACACAACAAAAAAAACAAAACAAAGTATGATATGATATGTGTAGTCAAAAGAATATGTTAACCCTTTGCTAAAAGTGATGTTTCCAAAAATAAACGGGTCAAACTTCCTTGATTGTGTTCGTCAAATTAATGATTTAACACAGTGGAGGCGGGTGCTGGGATGAAAGGGATCGTAGTTGTGGCTGATCGTATGAGCTTCAAATCCCCGTAGTCTCTGTCTGTCTGCCTGTTTCTGAATATTTTTTTTTTCTTCTTCGTTTCGTTTCGTTTCGTGTTTTTTTGCACAGTGGGTTTGGGTAGCGCTGAAGAGAGAGAGAGAGAGAGAGAGGGAGAGAGGGGAGGCAGTGACAGCTACAAATGGAAATTGCAAAACTCGGGATCATTATATTGAAAGAACGCTTCTTATAGAGTTCAACAGCATATGTTGCTTAGATTGTAGCCCACTTCAACGCTCTCAACCCTGTCTTGATAGTACAACATGACAAACTCCTTCAAAAATTGAGCATCTTGCTGACTATAAGGATCCAATTCCATGTCAATCATATCCTGATATGATAGACGTAGTTCTACTTTGTTGAGTAGCTGCCCATCTTCAGAACTGTCAAATTTGTTGTGATATTCCTCTTCTATGGCTTCATCGATATAGTTGAGCCACTTTGACGTCAATTGGTGAAAGTACCCCACAACGTTCAAAAGATCAAGCAAGTCAGTTTGCTTGTTCAACTGTAAATCTGGCGAATCTTCTTCAATGTTGAGTTGCTGGCCAGCTGAAGCAAACCACGAAAAAGCAGACCAGATGGATTCTGTCCACGAGACAGGCTCAACACTATCCTGCCGCCACCACAATGGCTCATTATTGATCTGATGAGAAATACTTGTACAAAACTTTGCAGCAGCAGCAGCGGCAGCAGCGGTAGCACGAGGCGAGAAAGAGTGCACGGAGCCCTCTTCAGTTTCAGTCCTTGAAGAAACTGAATTTAGATCATCTGTCGATACGTTTGAATTGTTGGTAAAGTCAAAGTTCTCCGTGATAAAGTCCGAGTAAAGCACTTGGAATTTGTGATAGTCTCGAATTGTTGCTTTGATAGCGGTCTTGTCGCGGGCAAATGCCTTGACTGTATCACCTATTTCAACACCAACATCGTAAATCGGATGGTCCTTCAATATCTCGTCACTGGTGACTGCAATATACCCGTTTTCTGAATTCTTGTATTTTTCAAGCAAGTTTGACGAAAGCTCATTTAAACCAATGTTGTATAATGGCTGCTGGGAGTGAAGTTTTGGATTGGGTAACTTTGCGCTTTTTGGAACCACCGATAAAATGGATAGCAAATAACTAAAGGAAGAAAGCGTGCTATAATTATCCCTACTCGATGACTTTAGTTCCTCAGAGTTCAGATGCAATTCATTAAAAATCAAAATGTTCTTGCGTAAAAGACTCTGCTTGTAGATGGAAAATACAAGTGGGCCCAATGTCTTAAACAATTGTGGTAGGCCAAGTAGTAAATGCCTCCCCTTGTTGGGTTCGTCACCAGGAATGCGCAAGGTAGAGTTTCTCGAACCTACTTCTTGCAACGCTGTTTCAATTTTCTTCATATCGATGTCGACATCAAGCCCCTCTGTACGTTTCCGAATGGTGTCAGCCTCAATTGCATTCAATACACTTTTCAACTCTTCAATGTATTCCCAACCATTGTTGATAAACTCGTTTGGTTTCCAATCGCTCTGTTTTGGCTCACACAAAATTCCCACTGAGTACATTCTCAAATTGTCTCGATCATCGGGGTTGCTCTGATCAATAGCAAACTGCTTGAAACAGCTCAATCCATAAAGAAGCTTGTCATTTGCGGCGTGGCTGAGAAACACCGTGGCTTCTTGTAAATCGTGGATTCCACTAGGAAACGACTTGTATTCGATGCCTTCGAGAGACACGTCGTTTGCTGTTTTAAACCACAAGAGCTTGTACCCTGATTTCATGTTGAATTCAGAAAAGAAGACCGCCACCACCTTGGACTGTTCGTGTGACATCTTTGGCGTTTGGTTGTGCATAAGGCAAGAGGCTCCTTTGGAGGAGTCTGAATAAATTTTTCTCTCCCTCCTTTAAAGCTGAAGTCTACAACAGTATAAACGGTGTACTGAACTGAAATATGCATTGATACAAATTGTCATAGCCTATATAGCTTACGTAGCTCTTCCTAATACAATCTCTTCCGTGTTAACTCTTCCAAAGATTCGCACTTCCCACCACTAGCTCTTTTAAGCTCCTCCGGATTCGTCCCAAATTCTAAGCTCTTATCCGCAAGATAAAGTTGACCACGACAGCAATAAGCAAGAAGAAACACAACATAGTAGGACCAAATCTGTCATCGTATGGACCAGATCCTCTCAACCTAATAGCCTTTGCTCTCCAGTGGTAGGTGACCAAAGCATAAACCATGGTCAACATGGCAATAAATGTGAATAATCCAGCGGAAATTCTACCAACATAATCACCAAAGTTCAACAATCCGACACCCAATGAACCCAAAATGACAGTAAAGTTCAACCATGATAAGAAAGTTCTTTCATTGGCGAAAAACACCTTTGGCTCAACTCTTGCTGGAAGAGCAATTCTTTTGTTAGTAGATGACATGACAGATGTGTTAGCAATTGTATGTGGTATGATGGTTGTGGAGCTATAATGCCAATGAAAACTCTCTGGCTAGTAAGACAAGAACCCCCTGTAGTGATTGATAAGATGGAAAAAGGTGGTTTTCCTTGGGTAATTTTTTTTTTTTTTCTAATAGGGCCAATGTAACATATAATATCGAAGATAGAAGTAAAGATGCCAATCTACATTGTTTCTTTTCTTTTTTTGGGTGCTGTGCCTAAGTAGGAAATAGAGCCGCACGGCCTAATTAAAAGAGATAAAAATTAAATTGCACCACGTGGGTCAATCGACAACTTCTGCATCGCTACCATCGCCATATTGCCACATACAATATAGATTTCCGATTTGCTGCAACATAAAAACTGCAGAGCCTTTATCACCCTAGTTTTCATTTATTTTATTCCCTAAATACCCATTGACCTTTTCTATAAGCTGTTCTTCTTTTTTTTTTGTTTTTTTTTTTTTTTCGCCACTACTTTCTTGGTTCCAAAATCAATTGACCCATAGGAACATTTGAATGACCTTTGCCAAACGCATACACTGAATGGCCCCTCACCATAGTTTCCAACACTCTTCCTTGAAACTCCATTCCATCATATGCCGTCAACTTATTCTTAAAATAAACATCCTTGTTTTCAACCAAGAAAACCGCTTCTGTGTCAAATATACAGAAATCAGCATCGTAACCCACTTTCAAAGCCCCCTTTCTGTCCTCTAACCCAACTTGCTTGGCGGTATTCAATGAACACCATTTGTTGATTTCTGCCAACGTGATTGGAGGATTCAACTTCTGCCCTTCAGTGTACAATATTGGCAATCCAAACCCAACACTGGAAATACCGCCCCATGCTTCAAAGAAATCACCCTTTTCCAACCCTTTCAAATCAGGCGTGCATGGCGAATGATCACTTACAACGGTGGTGATAATATCATTACGCAACGCCTTCCACAACAATTTCCTGTTGTCATCAGTCCTAATTGGAGGACAACATTTGAAATGAGTTGAACAACTGCTAATCTTTTCAGCACATAATGACAAGTAATGGAAACACGTCTCTGCTGTTATGGGCAACCCTTTAGCTTTAGCTGCCCTGAGTAAAGGTACCGCTTCATGTGTTGCCAAATGCACAATGTGGAGTGGGACTGTAGGCTCAAAAGTGGAGCAATTGATAATTTCCGCAATGGCGGTGGTTTCGAAATTATCTGGTCTCGATGCCAAAAAAGAGGCGTACGCAGTAGGGTCGATATTGGCTAAAGACGAATCCTTTCGCTTTGCCAACAACAATGGCGAACTCACTTTCGTATCATCTTCAACCAACCATAAACCATCTTCTTCGTCCAAATGACTTTGCTTCTTAACCTTCATTGCATTTTTACCATATGTTGGTTCAGCTCCCGCCAACACTGGCGTGTGTGCCAATTTCATTGCTTGCTCATTTGATAACACCGATTCATCGATCGACCCTGCATGGTTATGAGGCAACTTACAATGCTCATGCTCATGCTTGTGTGTACCAGGGTCATTGCGCAAAAGCTTGACCACCGGTTGCGGTGCTCTGTTGATAAATGAAGCAGACATACCCAAATCAAAATCGGTATTCATCAACTCATCCTCAATGACGACTGGATCAGCGCAGCTCACTTCTACCAGCTTTTCCTCCTCGTGCTCCATCGACAGATCTTCCTCTCCGTCCAGGATTTGGAAATCAACTCTGGATTCTGAAGGTTGCATTTCAGCATGAAACATCAACAACGTCTTCTCCCCCTTGACAATCCTCATAGCCTCACGAATTATACGTGGGGTAACCGCTGGGAACTCATCAACACCACTTTCAATCATAAATGCCTTGAAACCCCTTACTCCCATTCTGATCAATGGCACCAAGTCCTGTAAGTTGCTAGGAATCAAACCACCCCAGAACCCAACATCAACCCAACACTGTTCTCTAGCTGCATTTATCTTTAAATTGAAATTGTATACAGTTGTCGTAGGTGGGATTGCATTTAAAGGCATATCAATGACAGTGGTGACACCTCCAAATGCCGCAGCTCTGGTTCCCGTGGCAAACCCCTCCCATTCCGTACGACCCGGCTCATTCAAATGGACGTGAGCATCAACCAAACCGGGCATAATCACTGCTGGCGAAACATTTCGATAGTCAATGGGCAAAACTGCGTACCTCTTGAGTATGGCATCATTGGGTGGTAACACTCTATGCTCTATATGTAGAATCTTTCCTGTCTCCAACGTGAATATAATTGTAGCTGGTATGATTTGATCATCGATCAATACTCTAGTAGAAGATAATGCTCTCGACATGGCTTGAAAGAAACTATGTGGTGAGACAGTGGAACACTTTTCTTTTGAATATTGATCTCGACTGAAAAAGGAAAGCAAATATAGAAATTGTGTGATATGATAATGCAACTTAGTTTTTGTAAGTTCTTATCTCTTGAATCATCCGGTTTTGTTTTTTTGAAAAGTTCCTACTGATAAGGAATAGATATAGATTACCAAAACAAAAACGAAAAAAACAAAAAAATTCAAAAAAAGATGCAAAAATAAATTGGCAAGTCGAGTAACTGGATAACTGGAAACTAGTCTGCTTTTATCACTGAATATCTCCCCAGTCTTACCCCAGAATATTAACGAAAAAGTTGGAGAAAGGAGAAAGGAGAAAGGAGAAGAACACAATATTTTTTATACACTCTGGAAATTATATATGAAATGGGAAAAGAAAAGAGCTGGAAAATTTTTTCATATGGTTAATGCGCTTCGGAACTTGCCGAAACGCTACCATAAAAAGAAACAACAATACTGCAAATTTGCGCGTCACAAAAACGAAATCTGTCTTTAAATTACAGCCTATACCGAAACGTTTTTTTTTTTTTTTTCAGCACATGCGCAAGGAGTGAGAGTAGGTGATTTTGCAGAGGATATGATGAAAGTTTTTAAGGCTAAGGACAAACGTTTTAAAGGAGTGGGAAGTGAGAAGTGAGGAGTGCGGAGCGCAGAGGGTATAGCAATAATGGCAAGCACAGAGAAGTAGTGTACGAAAAGATTGTTGGCCAACCATGTTCATGTGGCAGTATATCCTCCCGAAATTGTCCGAGAGAGGTTTACATGCATCCCCGCCTCGCAAAGTAGAAAATCAACTACGTCATTTGAAGTAGCATTTCAACATTAAGCGCTCTACATAAGCTACTTATAAGTTATCAACTGCTTACCCTTTTTCGAATCAGTTATTCCCTGTTGGTACAACTTGGCCAAATCATTGCCATCAAATTCAACATGTGTGCTTGGAGCATCCTTCAACTCACCATTTTCATACCACTCAATAATCTGCTTTAATGTCTTTGATTTCAACTCTTGGTTGTTCTTCAACAACTCAGTGACCCAGAACCCTGCACTGGTAAAGTTTTTGAAAATGTGCAACGAGGTTGGAATGATGACCGGTTGTTTAGACATTCCCCCATACGTCAACATCAACCCGTTGTTGCCCAATTTTCTTGCAATTCCAGTTGACGACTTGCCTCCCACACAATTCAAAGCCAATTTGAGCTCACCGCCAGTTTCCTTAACCCAGGACTTGATTTGGCCACCAAACTCTTTGGATGCATTATCTTCTTCGGTAATAACTTGCGTCGCACCCAACTGCTCCAACTCTTTCTTAACCTCGTCCAAGTCTGGTCTGTCTCTAATCACAGAAATTGAGTTAAAGTTTAACAATCTCCCAACTTGCGAAGCGTATTTTCCCACAGCCGAATTTCCTCCGTTTTGAATAAACCAATCCTTGCCTGGTGCCAATTTCAAATAATGGGTCAACATGAGATACGCGGTCAATGGGTTAACTGAAATAGTTGCCGCTTGATTTATACTCAACCCTTGCTTTTTGCCATTGGACTTTGATTGATCTGGATTGGGCAACTTGATAAAATCAGATGATGTACCCAATGCATGAGTTCTCCAAGTACCGTAATTGACTTGGCTTGGAATTACCCAATCGCCAACAGCAAGGTCTGACACTCCATTCCCAACTTTCAAAACTTGGAAAACGCCTTCATTTCCACAAGGCGCTGCAGGTTTTTCTGTGTCGAAATCCAACGTCTTTTCCGGCTTGGATGGATATACTCCTTGGATTTGGTTAATGTCTGATGGATTGACGGGAGATGCCAAAGTTTTCACAACAACCTGGTCTGATTTCAAGTTGTCGTCGTCGATGGAGAATTTATGAGTAAACAACACATCGGAAGGTTCTCCGTGTTCAGTGTAGAGCACAGCTTGGGCAGTAATCATGCTTCTTTTAAAGATTGAAGAGGTCAATGGGACAATTGATCTCCTGATTGCAAACATATTCAAGTGATATATGTATGTAGCTTGCTTGGCGGACTTTTTTTTGCTTCTACAGTGATTTTTTTTTTTGTTGTTGAATTACGTCAAGGGGGGGAGGGAAGGAGAGGGTAGGCAAAGGGGGGGAACTGGCTCGCTTGCCCACTTGCTGGCTCACTCGCTACCAAAGAAAAAAACGTCAAGTTCCTTCCTACCATACAAATTTTATATTCTATATGAATCATACAAAAAGGGTAAACCCACTCCAGATCAATTCTGCTTTCCTTCCTTTTCAATCTCCTTCAACTTCTCAGCTTCGGCCAATCTCTGCTGTTTTTGCAACTTTTTCAATTTTGTATTTTGATAAGTTCCCAACACAAAGTAGACCAAGTTGAAAAACACAACCCACAACTCAGGTCTAACAAATTTCTGTGCCACCAACAAGGCAAAGAATGACGTTGTCAATGATGACTTCAAGACTGGCAAGTACCCTTTCTTCAATCCTGCTTTGACGATGAACAAGATTTTCTTCAACTCGGTAATTGGGTTACCCGAAGTGCATTTGTAGTTGTTGATGATGGCTATCCATGCGACAAAGCAAGCCGAGATGGTTGGCGTCACTGTCAGCAAACTGGTCAATAACTGCAAAACCTTTTGCTTTCCTGTCAATGGGGGTTTATAGATCTTGTTGATGACAGCATACATGTTGTGACTTATTGGTGTTGCAATCAATGCCCCATAAATGATCATCTTGACCAACTTTTCACTGAAGACGTGTTTGACCTTGATGCCTAAAACTTTGGTTTCTCTGTACTCATTGGTGATGACTGACGCAACCGTTTCATTCAACCCACTGAAAATACCAGAAGTGATTGACTTTGTCAACAATGGGTACTGCAAAAGGTACGAAAGATACTGAGCATTAAGCGCTTGAAAAGTTGACATTGTGAGCCAAAGGTTTCCTGTTCTACTTGAGCCAGGTAAGTGAGTGAGTGAGTGAGGGAGTGAGTTGGGATTCTGATACCAGATGGAGTGATATTTGTCAACGTCGTAGATTATTTTCTTCCTGGCATCCAGATCTTCAAAACCGACAAGCCCCTCTTTTTATCTTTCGGAAATCTCCACCCACCCACGCAATATTTTTTTTTTTTAAAAAAAAAAAAAAAATTTACACGCGCCAATCGACATACCCGAACGGGGGATACGACCCCGCTCAGAACAAAGAAGGATAGCGCGTAGATGGTTTATCACCTCGTTGACCCGAACAGTTGAGGAGTGGTGTATCTGGAGGGTGCCAATGCATGGGCTTTGTTGGAATCCTTGCGGGCTTGGAATGGTGTGCATCATGTAAATGCAAAGGTTTGTTGTGATCTTTATCATCGCATTGTAACCCCGAAACGTATATCTCCGAGAATGCAGCGTATTTCCGTGGGATTGCCGCGACAGGCCTCTGTTTGATCTACGCGAACGTGTCTCAAAACATATTGACCTGGCTGTAATCTGGAAAGAGCGTAAGCAACGAATAGCCTTCAATTTGCATTTTCGTTTTCTACTCCGATCCTCAAGTGTATTTAAATATGACTCAAAAGCTTTGAGAATAGTACTCTAAGAATGAGACATTAAAGTTTTCTCAGTTGCAGAAGGATATTCTTGAACTTCGGAAATGTACTGTAGTGGCTCCAGTGGTGAAAGTAGTTTGGTTTGCTTGAGCTGTATCAACCAAATTGCGCATTAAAGAAGGTTCAAGGCAACCTTTGTATACGTTACATTTTGCATAAAAATATTGCGAAAAAAACCGCATTACAAACACAAAGACCGGCAGAAGTGACCGCTGCTTTTTGTCGCAAGAATTAACAGAACACTCCAGAAACAGTAATCGAAAAAGGCCATCCAAAAGATGTGTGTGATTATTGAAAATGATCCGTGGGAGCATGGTACAGAGATAAGGTGTTGCTTTTTTCTATCACCATAGATGAATTATATACTGCGAAAAGTGGGGAAGCGACGACCCAGACAATTAAATTTTGAAAATGACGACGAAATTGAACATGAACGTACAGTGATGTCGTAGTTCTACACTCACAGCAGACTGGCTCCCCTGCAAACGATCAACTAAACCTTTTTTTGTAGAGCGTTCTAACTCTGCAAGATCTTACTAATGAAGAGTGAGATCTCGAATTTTGAATCATTTTTTGAGACATCCAGCCTTTTACTGTGCCGTCTTGGGCAACTGAAGGGCAAGCTAAATATGGCTGGCCATGACTACAAAACGACCAATACCACTCTGGCAAGCAGCCGTATCTCCTACCATCCTTGTCACCCCAGTTCTCCACCAGAGTTCTAGCCAAAACAAATGAAAAGTCTTTTTATAGAAACTTCAAATTCTGTGTCGGAGGAAAAAAAACAAAACAAAACAAAACAAAATTTTTCTTTTATTTTTTTAGTGTCTGATTGATTTTTTGTTGACTTTGTGACTTCGGAAGAACACAAGTTGCATTCGAAGCTTGATATACAATTAGCTAGACATTCAAGTGACGTCTTCGAGTTCAGGTACGGGGATACACTCTAACGAGAGCTGCTGTGAAGAGTACTACTCTAGCTTGGAAGTGCCCCTTGCCCTCAAGAGATTTTGCCAGCACTAATTAGTCTAATATCCAGAGCTGGTCAGTATAAGACGGAGTAACTAAAAAAAAACAAAAAAAAACAGTACAATGTACCCTTTATTGTCTTTCTCCAGAGGCCGAGAAAATTTTATTCGAAACGGAACCACATTGTATGCGTTTAAGAAAATTATCCACTTGGATGATCGAGGTGTTTCAAGCTAACTCCGTACCAAGAATCGTAGTTCTTCCGTCGTTTGCGAACTTTTCTCCACTAATCAAGAAAACCACACCAAGAGATCGAGCTGTCAAAAAGAAAAAAAAAAAGGACTAACTGTACAGCCAGGGGGGTCATTGGACAGAGTTTTCTTGTGTTCTTCCGCTTCGAGCGCAGATACTCCGACAACTCTTATCAAGGCACAAAAACTCTCCAAAAAAGGGCAATTTATTTTAGGTTTTGTGAGAAAGTGCACATCATTTTAAATATGGCGGGGAAAACGAAGCAGAGAGTAGGGTGGGAAGAAGGCGGATGCACCAACGCGATAATAGAAATATTTCAATAATGGTTTGAGCATGGCATTTAAGCGTACAGCCCAAAACTCAACACAATCTCTCTATATACCGTATTAGTAATTCTCAAAACCCTTCCCCTCTCTTGAAATCTCATACGACTCCACATTCTGAATCAGACACAGAAAAAAAAAAAATTACAGTCACAAAACAAAATTAATTTACAAGTAGCAATCATATCACCTTACATAAAGTCAGAGAATCGAGACAAATTATAGAAAGTACAAACTATGACAAGGCAAAAGAATACGCGACCCGTGGGGAGGTCCAAAAAGAATAAAAAATTACAAAGGCGCCGCCTCCATTCACGATTTTTGCTGACAAAAGTCATTAAATCCCTTCTTGCCGAAGTCCGTGTCTCTGTCACTTGAGATTCAAAGCGTCATCTATAGTTATGAGCCAACACGAAGAAAAAAACTATCAACATTTTATTGATGCGTATGATGTCATACACATTAAGCCAGCCTTTTTTCTTTTTCTTTTTCTTTTTCTTTTTTTATTTCTTCTGTAGCTTTAACGCTGTGAGTTTAAAACTACTCAACACTTTTGACTTTTGCCCATTTCGGAATTTGTTTTCTTTTCTGGCGCTTAAGCTTTGAAATGATTTTTGAATTCCGGCTTTGTAACTTGTGTCTGCATAAATTAAAATAACTGCAAAAATACATAGGACTGCATACAAGCCTTTCATTCAATCTCCCGACACAGATTCCCATAATGCAGACCATCATGTGCTAAACAATAGACTAGGAATCTGAAAACAATAATCTCTACAATAGTTAAACCATCCAGGATCTCTCGATTAAAAGCAAAGCCTACACGCCTTTGAAGGGAGTTTGTTTACGTCCCCTTAGTAAAAAAATCAGTCACGATTTTGACCTTTTTGTTTTTTATTTTATTTTATTTTACTTTATTTTTTTAGTTACTCAATTGTGCTTTACCAACTTTGTGTTTTGTTTATTAGTTATTCCACATATTCTTGCAAGGTATATACACTCGCCTCCCCCAGTTCTGTACTATATATGTAACCCAAAGGTAACAGAACAATGCCCCAACTACTCCTCCAATATGCCGCATGGAGTTGTGTTTAGATAGCAAAGTGGAAAACAATTGTGAAGTATCATGCAGAAAATTTTTTCCTTTCACGGGGTGGAACTATAAAACCGCATGTATTTCGCTTTCTACCTCGTCTCTCCAAATGGCTTTCCTCCTCTTTTTGCCATCTCCCTAGTTCTCGCGTTGCTTTGATCGCTAAAGTTATTATCCACAGACCTCACATCACCTAGGACCCCGGATTAATATTTTTCTTTGCTACCTGACACATTTTTATTTTATTTTATTTTATATTATTTTATTTTTATTTTTTTGCAGTAGGAGAACAAGACAAAATGCCAGTTGATCATACACCTGACGCTGGCGCTGAAAAGCCCATCACCAACTACTCCGATGTTGCTGGTAAGGATTCCCACCAACACCATGACAACGGCGCTCTTTTTGAAACTTCAAATACTTCAACCAGCGACTCGCTAAATCCACCTCCAAAAGAGCACATGGAAGACTCAGATTCCGTAGTGTCAACTGAACGTGCAGATGGGGAACACGGTAACATTTTGGCCCAGTACACCGAAAAACAAGTTATGGCTATGGGAAGAAACTATGCCTCAAAACACGGGCTAGATCCAGATTTGTTTGCTCGTGCAGCCGCATTGGCTAGAGCACCAGGCGCATTCAATTCAATGCCATTTTTAACCGATGAAGAAAAATCGGGATTGTACTTGGAAGCCACAAAGAAATGGCACATTCCATTGAAGTTGGTTGCTGTTATCGCTTTGGGCTCCATGGCCGCTGCTGTGCAAGGAATGGATGAGTCCGTCGTCAATGGTGCCACCTTGTTCTACCCAAAAGCGTTTGGTGTGGACAAGATGAAAAACGCCGACTTGATTGAAGGGTTGGTCAACTCAGCTCCATACTTGTGCGCTTCTTGTATTGCATGTTGGATGACAGACTTGTTCAATCGCCACTTGGGTAGAAAATGGACTATTTTCTGGACTTGCGCCATTTCGGCAGCTACTTGCATCTGGCAAGGTTTTGTCAATAACTGGTGGCATTTGTTTATCGCTCGTTTCTTTTTAGGATTTGGTATTGGTATTAAATCAGCCACTGTTCCTTCCTATGCTGCCGAATGTACACCAAAACATATTCGTGGCTCTTTGGTTATGTTGTGGCAATTTTTCACCGCTGTTGGTATTATGTTTGGTTATGTTACTACTTTGGCTTTTTACTACGTGCCCAAAAAGAGTTTTGGCACCGGTTTAAATTGGAGATTGATGTTGGGAAGTGCCTGTATTCCGGCCATCATTGTGTTGTTCCAAGTGCCGTTTGTCCCTGAGTCACCTCGTTGGTTAATGGGTAAGGACAGACATCGGGAGGCCTTTGAGAGCTTGAAGCAGTTGAGATATGAGCCTATTGCAGCAGCCAGAGATTGTTTTTACCAATACGTTTTGTTAAAGGAAGAAGGCTCTTACAAAATTCCAACTTGGAAAAGAGTTATCGAGATGTTCACCGTCAGAAGAAACAGAAATGGTGCCATTGCTTCTTGGATTGTTATGTTTATGCAACAATTCTGTGGTATTAATGTCATTGCCTACTACTCATCTTCTATCTTTATTGACGCCAAATTGAGTGAAATCAAAGCTATGTTGGCTTCTTGGGGTTTTGGTATGATCAATTTCATCTTTGCCATTCCGGCATTCTTGACCATTGATAGATTTGGTAGAAGGAACTTGTTACTTTTCGCTTTCCCACTTATGTGTGCGTTCTTGTTGGTTGCAGGTTTTGGGTTCTTGATTCATGATAGGAGGGGAAAGTTGGGAATGGTTACCACCGGTATTTACTTATTCTCATGTGTCTATTCTTCCTCAGAAGGACCTGTCCCCTTCACATACTCAGCAGAAGCTTTCCCCTTGTATATCAGAGATTTGGGAATGTCTTGGGCAACTGCAACTTGTTGGTTTTGGAATTTCATTTTGGCATTCACTTGGCCGCGGTTGAGGACAGCATTTACCCCAACTGGTGCTTTTGGTTGGTACGCTGCTTGGAACGCTATTGGGTTCTTCCTTGTATTATGGTTCTTGCCCGAAACGAAAGGATTGACTTTGGAAGAGTTGGATGATGTTTTCGCTGTACCAATGTACACTCACGCCATCTACAGAACAAGAACTTTCCTTCGAGGTGTTCAAATTCACGTTTTGCGCCGCAAGAATGTTCCTGAAATTCCCCCAATCTATGACCATCAAAGAATGGCTGTTACAAACGAAGAGTGGAACGATAAGACAGAGGTTTCTCACGTCGAGTAAACTGGCTGATACCCTCTTTTCTTTTCTTTTCTTTTCTTTTTTTGATATTTTTTTTTGTCCTTTTTTAATTCTACTTTAGCAGGAGAGAGATATTTTAATATTTAGAGTATTCGAGAAAATGATCCAATTGTAGGCAAACTCTTGTTATCTAAATCTACTTTACACTCACCTTAGGAAGTCTCTCAAGTACGATCCCAATTTGGTGGCACCGTCTTCCAACGCATCCTTCAACACCTCCATATCCTCATTTGCATTTCCAGAGAATCGGGAAGCAAATTCTCGTGCGCTGGACTCCAAATCACCCAAATTAATACCTCCTTGTGATCCACCACGTGCTCTGCCTCCAGCAGCCAACCCCTGTGCTTCATCTTCTTCACCGAAATAGGACGAGGAGGAGATGGATTGAGCTCCGTTGAAAGATTGTAGTTTAGCCCTCGCTTCGTTTGTAGCATTTTCATCGAATCGAGGTCCCCTTCCAAAAAATTCGTCAGAGGAGATACCCTTTTGGGTTCCAAACTTGTTTGACACCTCTCCTGTGTATTTGATATCCTTATACTTTTTAGCTGGTCCGTTACTAACAACATTATCACCTTGAACCATACCAAATCCCAACTTTTGAAACTGCTGGGTAGTTTCTTGAATTGGAGCTGGAGCCAATTTCTCGTTTTTGGGGTCCAGCTTCAACGACAACGAGCTGGTGGATTTCTTCTCCAATGGTGTGCTTGGAACAGGAGGTGTGGTCTCTTCAGGTGTGTAGCCCAACTTCTTACGTTCTTCCTCCTCTTCACGCGCTTTTCTTTCAATCTCATCAAAATCGATAACTTCGTCGTTTTTATTGATTCTCTTTGCCGCCAATCTCGACTTTCGTGGCCCGTTTCCTTTTGATGACAAAATAGACTTTTTAGCTGCATTGTTGTTCTTTAAACGTGAGGATGCAGTGGCAGTAGCAGTAGCAGTAGCAGCCGTGGCAGTTGGTGTGGGTGTGCTAGTTCTCGACACTGGCTTCTTCTTCAGCAAATCATCAGTGGATCCGATTGGTGTTCCACTTAGCGATCCCAATGGAGATGGCGTAGCAGTAGCAACTGGCTTGGTCCAGTTTGAGAAAAAATCGTCAGTACTATCAGTCGACGAAACGTTTAACAGCGAAGCATCAGCCAAATCGTCCAACGTAACAACATCCGGGTGTTTGATTGCATCAGCATTGGCTTTCTGCTTCAACTTTTCTTTATACTTGTTAGCAGCGGGGGAGGAATACTTTGCCGTTGCATCAACACCTTGCTTATTGTTGACAAATTGGGAGCCTCCGTTCTTGACAAAAAAATCCTTAGCCGGCTGATTACCGCCAAACTTGAAGTTTCTCAACTGCATACGCTGCCAACTATCCAAGTTGGAAGACCTGACAAATGAAACGTGCACTCCCAAATTACGGTGAACCGAGGAACATTGCAAACACAAGAATATACCAAATGGAACGGACGTCCACGTAGGATTCTTATTGGAGCAATCAAAGCAAACCTGGTTGGCAGGATCTTTTTTCAATTTGTCAAACACCAAGGCCACCTCTTCCTTTGAAGCTATTGCGTCAGACATGGTGTAGTCTAAAGGAGCGAAGCTGTTGATTTGAATGGTAGTCAATCAACGCAATTTTGTAAGTGAATTTTTTTTCTTTTTTTTCCTCTCTCTCTGTAATTGTCGTGTCATTAAAATCAGTATCAGTGTCTACTTTAACCAACAACAACGGTATAATACTTTACTATGTACAATATACAATATCCCCTCTGTATCCACACTTAATGGAATGGTCTTGATCCACCACGAGCGAATTCAACAATCTTCCATCCCTCAGTGGTCTTGTTATCAAACTCTTCTGGAATTCTAGTCAAAACCATAGCATAAGTACTCAATTGGATTTGATCTTCAGTACCAGCGGCTATTTCACCAGTCTTGGCCTTTCTATACAAATGGATCTCTTGCGCTCTGCAACTGACAACAACAACAGGAATGTCATTAGGTTGCAAGCTCTTGCAAGTGACAATATCGACACCTCTGATGTCCAAGATTCTGCTATCCGAAAACAATCCTTGCTGGGTAAATTGTTTATTGTTGGCTTCCCAAACGTTATAAGGAGCCTCGCTGAACCATTCCTTCAACACCTTTGCATCATTTTTGATGTACGCATCAACAACTTCGGGAACAATGTAGTCGTTTAATGTCTTTTGGAAATCGGTCAACCTGAATGAAGGGTCCATATACTTTAGCTGTTTGATAGTCTTGGCTTGCTCAGTCTCGGCAAAAAACCCAGTAACCTTTTCAATAATGGTACGTATTAGACTGATCAAACCATTCTCCGATTCGTCCCATTTTTCCTTGAGAATGACAATAGCTTTACCAATAGGCGATTTTTGCTTAAAAGCTTCCCATTTCTCACTCGTTGATGGACCCGATGATTTTATTTCTGTTGCAACCAACTCCCCACCAGCTTCTTCATTCTCCTTCACCGGACCTTTGTAACCTTCTTTTAATTTCCTGGCCAATTCCTTCTCTCTTAGAGCTTGCCTTTGTTCTTTTGTCAAAAATCCACCATACATATTCGAAGACCCATCGTCAATCACTTCTGAAACGTCCTTGTATATCTTTGTCTTTCTCACTGGTTCAAACGCCTTGTCAGCAACATCAGCACTAACTTTGACAGTGGTTCTGACACCTTTCCCCACAGGAGACTCCCATGCTTTATAGGCTGCACCTCCTACTACATCAGCAGTTTTTTTGACTGCTTTCCCTGCGGCACTTCTTCCCTTCTGTGCTCTGGCATATGCCTCTTTTGCCCTCTTAAATGCTTCAGATTCGGCCATTCTTCCGGATTCATCCTGCAAAGCTTTAATATTTTCCTTCAACTCGGACGATTTCTTCACCTCTTGCTTGAAAGTATCGAAAAACACCTTTAATGGGGAGTTTGAAGAGGGAGGTTTGTCATTGAAGTGGATGCTTGATGCATGCAACGCACGTATCGTGGTGGTTACCGGTATTCTAGTGACAAGACTCTGTTGGTTTTTAATTGCGGATCTGAGCATCTTTGCGTTTCAAAATATAGATTGAGGGGGGGGGGGGAGGAAAAGGGGTCGGTGCTTTAGTTGTGTCTATTTACAAGCAGTTGGGGTTTGTTATAGTGATGCAGGCGAATTATTCATGAAGTGAAATTTTTTTTTTTTTTCTTTTTTTTTTTTCGTCTTTGTTTTCTGTCTACTCACAATATCTATACAATTTAACGATACTTCCATTTTTCATAAAGCCTGGCGCCTTGAACCGCCCCGTAGACTAAAATAGACCCTACCAAGCCGATCTGCAAGTTATTCAATATCCTCGACTGCTTTGCTTCAATCGTAACCGCTTTGGAGTATGGAATGTCATCTCTAAACGAAATCATTGTGTACAATGGCAACCATCTGTTTTCAAACCAGGATCCCAAAGTGTAGTCTAGCTTCTTTTTAACCAAGTACCAGATGTTTGTCACTTTAGATGACATTTCGTAATAGTTATCCAACGCCAATTTGCAAATAGCATCTAAATCGTCCTTTCTCTGGGGAGAGTACGCCAAGAAGGCCTTTTCGATATTGCCCTCGTTTGCCTCAATTAACTCCATCAATATTCTCACATCTTCAAACCCACAGTTCATTCCCTGTCCGTAGAAAGGTACCATCGAGTGAGCAGCATCTCCAATTATAATGGCTTTTCCATGGGGACTGTTGTACGGATAGGCACTAATTTGCATAAGCGATCCTCTCGGGTTATTGTCAAAAGCACTGACCAACGCTTCTTCTCCAATGAGGTTGTATGCATCAGGGAAATTCGTCTTGAAAAACTGGGTAAACTCACTACTCGATGTGATTGACTCAATCACATGCCACGGACTAAAGAATGTGGATGTAAAAGATCCATCTTCATTGGCCAAGGCTATCAACATAAAATCATGTCGTGGCCAAATGTGCAAGTGGTTTGCATCGATGGCAAATTTCTTCTCGGGATCAGGCGGTATATACAATTCCATATACTGCATGTCAATATACTTTTGGGAAAAGTCCATTCGCATACCCTTTTGCATTTGATGTCGGAAATGAGAGTGAGCTCCATCCGCGCCTATGATGTAATCGAAACCAAATGTCACATTGCCATCCTTTTTGGCAAACTCCATCGTTGGCGCAGTATCCACATTGCCCAACTTTACCAACTTGTGCTCAAAATAGACTTTTACTCCACTTTCGGCCAACTCCTCCAACAACAAGTCGTTAAGATAGGACCGATCGATGGAGTTTATGCACTCTCCGTGTAATCCGTACAATTGAGACTCTTGTTTCAAACCAGTTTTGTCGTGTACCATTCTTCCTTGCATTGGAATGACATGTTCGAGAATCTTTCTTGACAAGGCTTCATCGACATACTCAACAGCTCGTAGACCACGATTGCTAACGGCGAGGTTAATGGATCGTAAATTTCTCCTTGAGCGATCGATACTTGACGGATTAGGTCTTAAATCAAAAAGGTTGACGTCGTAGCCTTTTCGTGTAAAAGCTAAAGCTGCCAAGCAACCAACTAACCCAGCCCCAACTATCCCAATTGAAGGCTTGTCATTCACGTTTTGATTGGTGGTCATATTGTTATTTGGAGTTTATCTTCACACTCGAGAGTCAAAAGTAAAATAAAAAAAAGAGAAAAAAAAACAAGCAAACAAACAAATATCCGAGACCTCTAACGTTTGTGAGACAAAACATGCAAAGCTATATTTATTGACTATTTACCACTGCTTTAGATAATCTATGTTTCTTATCCCCAATCGACTTCTTCAAAGCTTCTATCTGGTGCTGCAACTCTACATTCCTCTGTGAGAACTCTTCATTAGCTTTGATGGTGTTTGCCAAATTCTCCTTCATCGTGAGATGTTCATACTTTTTCTGCAATCGCTCCTTCTCCGCAATCAAGTCTTTGCGCTTTACCTCGGCATCCATCAAGTTCTCATTGTACTCTTCACTCTGTTGTGAGATTTCAGTGTGGGTGGATTGAAGCTCTTTAATTTGGACCTTCATGCTATCGATTTTCAACAACAACTCGTCATGGACTTCAGATAAGTTCCTCAACTCATTTGTATTGTTACTTAGCGAGTTAGCTTCCATTAGGTAAAACTCGTTCTCATAAGTAATCAACGGAAGTTCAAGTTTTAATATCTTACCAAAATCTATAGGTTCAGAAAGAAATTCTTGCGATTGCATGAAGGTTAGTAGTTCATCGCCAGACAAGGAAGCAAGTTTATTATCATTCTTGAGAAATGCCCAAGCTATCAACCGTAACAAAAAATCAAAGCCTTCAAACACAATCAAATCGAAGATTCTAAAGCTAGCTTCTTCACGACCAAACATTCCATATATCAATTCCGGTACCAACTTTTTATAGTATGCAGACAAATTGACTCCTTGACTAACCAAATGCTTAAAGGACCCAAGTTTATCCTCTAGCGCACGGTTTATCTTGTACACAAATTCCTCTTGTTTGACCAAAGAATACAGTTTGTAAAGCTTGAACAAAACGAAGAATCTCTGCTCCCTGGAAAAATTAGGCACTACTGCTAGTAGCTCGGCACAACTTACCAAATATCTAGTGATTGCCACATCATTTGCAAACAGCGCACTTGCTTCCAGACCCTCCAAAACCACCAAGACGAGCAGAACCAATTCGACAACCTCCTGCTCCTTACTCAACTTTGACACAGTTTCTTCTCTAAGCTTTGTGCTTTGTCTCAATAGCTCATCAAATGTGTTGTTTTGAGTGAATTTGTACCTCACTTGCAACGTTTTCAAGTAAACGGGAGCTCTATATTCCGAAGGGATCCCCTTCAAGATTTCAGTCTCCACCTTATCCACTTCGTGACGTGTAACCCATTGATTACTGTAATCACGAAGTATCTTATTCCAGAACTGAGCAGACTCTTGATCACTGATTGTCTCGTCCAAATCAGGTACAACAAAATGCTTAT